CTGAAGCCCAGTCTGATACGGACCCATTAATACTGACACGTTGTCGCCTCCCTACTAGAAAATCTCTGATCCATTTGAGTACATTACTCTCAATTCCCAAAGACTTCAATTTACGCAACAGCCGCTCATGTGGGACACTGTCAAATGCCTTAGCAAAATCGAGGTACACTACATTTACTGGCTCCCTTTCGTCCAGCAGGCGGGTCCATTCGTTCAGAGTAGATAAGAGGTTAGTGGTGCAGGATCTCCCGGCAATAAAGCCATGTTGACAGTCTGATAGGAGATTATTAGCAGTCAAATGATCTATCAATCGATCCCTCACAATAAATTCCATTACCTTGCAAACGACACTTGTAAAACTGACAGGGCGATAGTTGTCCGGGCAGCTTTTGTCACCTTTCTTGAACAATGGTGTCAGTTGAGCTTCTTTCCAGTCAGCCGGCAACATTCCTTCGTTCAGAGTTTTCCGAAAAAATGACGTCAGAGGGCCGGCTAGGACAGTTGCTAACTCTTTGAGTAATCTGGGGTGGAAGCCGTCTGATCCACATGACTTGTTTGGATTTACAGCGATAAGGCGCTTGAGAACCTCTTCTTCTTGTATTTCAAAACTTGTTAATTTAGAGCTGACATGGGCGCTCCTCAATAGCTGGAATACTGTTCAAGTCCTCTTCAGTGAATACGCTACTGAAAAAATTATTAAGTACGTTAGCTTTGCCCTCATCAGAGAATATCTTTCGTTGATCTACTTTCAAATCAGAAATACCGTCCTTCATTTTGCGCTTCGAGCTAGCGTACAAAAAGAATGCTTTCGGGTTATTTTTTAGCAATACTTTTTTCGAGAGTTTTTACTGCGGTGCGACAGCTTTCTTTAGCTCGATTTCGAGCTCTTGCGTATAGGTTATAGTCAGCATCGCTACGAGTCTGTAGCGATGAGTACGAGTCTGTAGCGATCACAGAGTATTAACGCTCCACCAAGCTTAATTTTAGGTACACACGCATCAACTGCAGACATAACTGTGTCCTTGAGAAATGACCATGACTCAGCTACATTCATGTCCTTAATACAGTTCAAAATATTCACTGCATTCACTGCTTCACGGAGTTTGTCATAATCGCATTTCGCAAAATTCAAACGCTCACGCTTTCGAGGCGTCTTCTCTGTACAGTACTTAAGTCTGAAAAACAATAATTGGTAATGGCTTTTGCCCAACGGAGCCTTGTGACGAAGCTCATCTAGCATTGATTGATTATTTGATTCGTCACTAGTAAACACCAGGTCTAGAATAGTGGGAGTCTGTTTACTTCTACAATGGGTTGGTTTGGTAAAGTGCTGGACTAGGAAGGAATCACTTACTGACTCCATGAACAAGGATGCTGGGTGATTCTCTTCCCTTGGAGAGGATCCATCTATCCAGTCTAGCTCTGGATGATTAAAATCACCAACAATCAAAGTGTGTGACCTACGGAAAGTCATGCTCGGTAAAAGACTGTTTAGTACTTAATCGTTATCAGAAGAACTGTTCGGTGATCTATACACGACGCCTATGAGGAGGTATGTTTGCCTTTGAGAGAAAGTTCGCACCACACTGATTCCCTAGCTGATTGATGTTCTGCAGATAACTTGACTTGCTGGGCCACATAAGAGGTTCTAACCCACAAAGCAACACCTCTACTGCACTGCTCTTCATTCAAGTTATGAAAACAATCAAAACATGGCAACTGAAATTCAGCAGGTACAATTTTCCCCCCGTGATTTTTTGGGAGTGTTTCTGTAATACAAATAATGTCTAGGCACTCATTTTCAATCACAGTTAATAGTTCACTTATTTTGTTCGAAACGGAATCCGAGTTCGTGTTAAAACATTTTAAAGCTTTTTGTGTCGCGTTTATAAAATAAATATTAACGCGAAGGTACAGAAAACGAAAACTTCTCGCCAACCTCGAGGATTTTTCCGCGAGTTGGAAACAACCGAAGCCAACGTTCAAAACTGAACGTGCTCTACAACGGAAGAACGCTGCAGCTCTTTTCGTGCCATATTTGCGACGAAAAATTTTTTTTTAAGTCATACAAATTGTCCCTAAAACTCTTGTATTGACATCCAGTAGGAGCGAGAACATTTATTTGTGAGATTAGCTAAACTGTGTTGTGTTAAATCGAAGGCTTGTGGCTGACTGTGGCAGCCATTTGCAAAACGTGAATCCAAAGCTTGTCTGAGCCTGGCAGAATTCGAGTGTAAAAGTAGTGCTTGATTGTTCTGTACCATGAGATAGTCATTAATTAATTAATTATAAATTAATTAGCTAACAGTTTTATTCTGTCTTATTCATCATACTCGCCTGACATGTTTTTTCCTTAGTTGAGTTGGAGCCTGATTCATCAAGCCATCAATTAGTTTTGGGTGCCAATGAGCCACATAATGTGTAGTAGATCATAATTCAATAAGTATTAGTTGCATAAATCCAGTCTGAATAGCTAGCTAGTATGAATTATCATCGAACTTTCAGTGAAAATAGCTAGGCAGTACAGTAAAATTAAAGGATTCCGGAATTAAATTACTTGTCTTGCTATCTTGTATTTTACAACGTATGACGAACTCTCTGTTTTTTTTTGCGCAGGACGCAGGTATTGAAAAAAATAAATAAAAAGAATGTTTCAGTAGTTAAGCTCAATTTTTGGCAACCCCAGAGCAACGTGAGTAATCCGTGTTTGACTAGGGCGTATTTTCTTTGCAAGATGTAATACAGCGGCCGGTTTCTTGTTTCAAGCCAACCTGTGGCCAGTATAATACTCGATATTACTAGCATTAGAACAATATCTTAAGAAACTGATTTGCTTTTAGAGCATATGTTTTGAATTAGCCTGAGCTGGTAGTTATCATGGTGTTTATCACCTTTTGTCCATTAGGTTTCACCTTATTTTGCTAACATGAGCATAGAGAATCAACACGTTTATCGTTATCAAGACTTGTCTTACGTGTCTGAGAATTTTTGAATCAAGCTGTGGAATGCTCACATTTCTTATATTTGAGTGGTGGTGAAATTTTCAAGTTATATTAAAATTGATTTCTGTTGTAGCAAAATAGCAAACCATGTCCTTTGAACTTCTGTAATAATAAATTTAATATTTGATTTATTTCTATATGGACTATTTCTAATGAAAGTCTGATTGTGCAGGATTTACGGTGGTTTAAGAAGTAAATGTTCACTGAAGTATCAAGTTTTTTCCTGGACCTTTACGGATTGCTATCGTTAGGTGTTGAGACCGCCTCCATTTTCTGGAGACCCGGGCTAAACGCGACATTTTGTGCACTTTCATTTTGATGCATGCATTTACTTCTTACATTATTTACAGGCCTGGATCTATGCACATGACTTTTTACTTGTCTTCCAGCTCCGCTGACTGACCGTGTGCGGCCGGTGTTGTCTTGACATCGTAAAAGTGGTTGACCTGAGTCTCCATGCTTTTCCGCCTGAGTCTCTCCTGCCATTTCTTGCGAAAAATTTCTCTCTCTAAAGGGGTAGCATCTTTCATAACAAAGACTGAATTAAACTCTGTGAATTCACTTAGTTTTCTTGCAGCCTTAAGCACATGACGTCTGACTTGGGCTGTATCCTGCATAGTTACAAGCAGCGGTCTACATGTGGTAGCGTCTTTCGATCGCAGCCTCTTGCTTGCCGTTATATTCACGACGTTAACTGCCTTGGCACAGCAATCAGTAATAAATTCAGCATCCGAAGCATTGCTTTCGGGAACGGTAAACCAAACAAGGTTCTCCTCTCTCTATCCAGCAGTTCATAGTGCTCTCGTTGGCGAGATCAGAGATGACCTCATTGCGGCCTTTACCTTCTGTGTTATCGCTATTTTCTGTTTTGTGCAGACGAGCTTTCATTTCCACCAGCTCGTTTCGTAACGAGTGTAATTCGCTACGCAACAAGCTCAATTCTTTCTTGTGGTTCTCCTCCTTTTCGGCTCTCTTTCTCAACTCTTGCTTGTTGGTTTTTTCCATTTGGCCTTTAAGACAGAAAACATAGAATAGCACTTCTCTTCCACCATCTTTTCGCTTTTTACAGCGCAAGTGCGGGTTGTTGGCAGTCCTGGCAGCACCAATGTACTGACTTGTTTCTGCGAATAACCGAGCAGTCTGTCTTGTTCAACTTTGCACAATTGTTGCAGATGATATCCCCGCAACGATCACAGGCCACTGTTGCATCATTGACGTTAAGCGATACCAGCTTGCAAAATTTACAAATGTCCCCTCGCTCATTTTGCGATTTGATCTTCGCATTCAGTTCAACAGGACTGGAGGCCTTTTCAATTAATCTTTTTCCTCTCTGATCAGCCATCATGAAATGCAAGAGCTAAAAAAACACAAGTTAACAACTGAATCAAGTTGAGTAAAATTGGAAAAGTTTTCAAATTGCTGTAAAAACTCAGTTACAGACTTGAGAATAAGCGGCTTTCAGAAAGTGGCGATGTCCGCGGCTGTAAAGGTGTTCAGGGTAGAGGAGATGAGCTTGGACATAAAACAAGGGCTGTATTGTTCTACGATGGCGAGGCAGTGCACGTTGCCATCTCTTGCTTGGCGACCCTCGCTGACTCTAAGTCGCGTTATTTAGGATGAAAACACTTTTACTGTAGGTTTGTTCTTTCTATTCGCACTCTCTTTTACTGACTTCACTGAAAATTCAATCATTCACTGACACGGATGACAAAAAAAATGAAAAAGAGTTCCGAAAACGGCACAATAAAAGTTAAAAGTTGAAAATCTGGGACCATAAAACATGAGCGTCCGCTCTTGACCACGGCTGAAACTTGGTAAAATGTTGGCTTGATATGGACTTTGTTTTATTAGAATACATAAATTTTATCATTAATAACGGGATTATGAGAATGGCTGGATTTCTGATAACACAGTTCCAAAGTTGCCGTTATAATTATCAAGCCCGGGCAACGCTGGGCTAACCGTCGGGTTGTAAAAAAATTGCTCCCAGGATACCAACAAAACTTGTATATATACGTATATATATAGGAATAACAACTTGGCACTCACAATTTCATTTCATAGCTTCTAATTTTTTTCGACCATTATGCAACACCAGCTAGTCTTCCTGGTGTGAACTAACTAAAATCAAGCTACGCTACGCAGACGTCTACATGCATTCTCATACCGACCTGATGACCTCTCATGGCCAGGCCATTCATGATGGGAGTCATTGTGTGCATGTGCGTCGTAAGCATCGTGGGCACGAGAAAGAGGAACTTGTAGCTCTTATCTGAGGGCGGCAGTTGTGACTGGAAGAATATACTCCCTCGAGACGCAGCTTGGCATGCCGTGGCAGCGAGCAGCACCAACAGCTCCGCCTGTTCACGACAGAACTATCTTATAAGTTCAATTTGTATGAAAATATCTCTGAAGCAAATCAAAGTACGAATAGCAAAGTGATAAATATGGTAACTTTCAGGACGATAGTTTAAGAAAAGTAATTGTGAAAACACGTAATCGATTAAATATCCTCAACCACTAAAAATACAAATATAAATTTCTTCGAAATTTTGCAGGTCAATCAATATTATATATTTTAGTGTCTGAAAATAAAACTAAATATTCCGGCCACTCGTCCGGCGATCCAGAATCGCCAATCTAAGGATCGGGACAATCTCAGAGATTTGAGGATCTTGATTTTACCATCTTTAGAGAGAAAAATCCGTTCAAGCCTCCATTCAACCTAGAAACTCCAGGTCAACAGCGCCCTCCTAATATAGATAAATTTAATAAATGTTTAAATTTCAATAAATTTCATCAAGTTGCTATATTTTTTCTAATCCATGTTGTGTGATACCTCACGATTCGATGAATTATAATTTTAATTTCAGATTGAGGACCTGACACGATATAGGGATACGAAAGATAGAGTGTGTGTTACTTATTAAGGTCCCATTTATTAGATAAAAAGAATTTCATCATCTTCAAGTACAACAGCGCTAAATTCTGAAAGAATATAAGTTCATTCAATCCAATATTGCTTTCGCGACGATGCGGCCGAGCTAAAAATAAAATTACGATCGCAGATAATATTTCTACATGAATAGCACTATTTATATATATATATAAATTGAAAAAGTATAATAGGATAATGTAATATATACATATATAATATTTTTAACAATTTTAAAAATGCAAATTTTAAAAATACATCTTGAATTTGCATTTCGCGCGTTCGAAGGCTGGAGTCAGGAAAGTGGAATAGGTTATTTAAACATGTATTCATGTTAATAAACGCGTAGGTAGCTCTGAAATGGTGTTAAAATGGCTGGATAATGGCAGGATGAGGGAAGGATAATGGCAGGATTAGGGGAGGATATTGGCAGGATTAGGGCAGGGTAACGGCAGGTTAATGAGAGGATAATAGCAGTACATTGGCCGGATAATAGCACGGTAACGTTAGGATAATGCAGGGTAACGGCAGGTATATGGCAGGATATTGACAGGATAAGATCAGTACATTGGCAGGATAATGGCAGGGTAACGTCAGGATAATGGCAGGATATATGCAGGATAATGGCCGGATATTGGCCGGGTAATGGCAAAATAATGGCAGCCAAATGGCAAGATCAACTTAAAGACATAGCGGAACTCGGGTGGGATAGAAAAATAATGACCAAATAGGACCAAAACTCATTTTGGGATTTAAAATACTATGGTAAATTTACGTGCACAACTTCGATGATTAAGTTCATTGTATGGCTTCCTACAGGAAATTTTAATGGGGCTGTCATACACTAATGCTATAATTCTCTAGCATCAAATTCATTCTGATGAAATGAAAGAAAAGTTGATAAAGGGTTTATCGAGTTTCGCGGGTAATATATCTATCTATCTTGAACGACGTAAGATGGGAGCGCAGCCGTGCGCCGCCAATTTTGTGCACCATAAGCTCTTAATCGAACGCCTTGGATCTCTCCGGACATCCACCAATTAGCCATTAACCTTTCGGCCTTGTCTTCCTCCGGCCTTGCATAAAACCTGCCGTGCACCACCAGGCCACGGATCGAATATGACTTCCGGGCATCGTTAAATTACGTAATTTTGCGTTCACCGCGTCTGAGGTTAGGTTTCAGATATCGTAAGTGCTGTTACAAAATTTATCGTCCTTCGACGAGTGGCCGTTCGACCGAGGACTGGTTCGACGCACGGCCTAGATATGATTGTCCAGAAGTGTTGAAGGCTACGTTCCGGAAGGCAGGAATCATATGATGGTCAATTGCATCCATGGGGCAGTGGTGGTCGTCGGCAGGCGACCCCGAAAGATAGTTTACTGATTATTTTCTTGCGTTTCAAAACATTCCTCCTTTAAACATGAACATAATGTTAGCATTACCACTTCAGAACAATCATTTAGTAGAGTGAATCGTACATGACAAAGTACGCCACGATATTTTTTGGCAATGAATACATGTACTGGTTAGCGTGATGCTGTGGCTGCTCATTCTAATTCGAAAGCTAGCTCCATTTAATAATTCATTGCATTCTGTGTGACGTCGTTCGTCACTCGTCAGATTCAACGCACTAAGTTTTCCTATCCTCATCTATTCTTTCTTAAAATCTTCACTCATCCCGGCGTTCACTCCACAAGTGCGTGGAAAATATCGCAAAGATCAACGAAATTACCACCACGTGAACGCAGCCACCCCTCAAACGGTTCCCACGTTCCTAGCAGCGTCACTGCCTCAACAGTGGGCGTCTAGAGCTCGAGCGAGTAGTGTGTTGCTCCACGAGCCCTCCCAGTGTTACCCTTAATATATGTTGCTATAGCTCATTAGGCTTATATTTCTCTATCGCTCGCTAATGTGTATGATTCTAGAATTGGAAATGCCATGTTCATGTCATTGAGTGAATATTATAGTCGTTGCGTTAGCCTACTCATAGCCGCCGACATTGTTGGCGGCCATTATAACGAACATTTGCTAATGGGCTCCTACATCATAGTTGATATGTATTTTCTAGTATGAATTCGTCTAGGAGTAATTATTAAAAAGGGATTATCAGTCGCATAACTGGATGTACTGATTTGATATTTTCTAGGCCATTTGCCTCACCTTTATTGTTGTGACTATATAAATGTTACTTGTGTAGCAAAGACGCCGTTCCGTTTTCTTCGACACAATCTCATAAAGAAAATTTTTACGGGAAACTACTTTGTTCCCGGCGTTGTCTACACGGCAATGACGGCATCCCTGCAGACTTGTGATTCATTACATCTCTTTTAATATGAAGTATTTTAGGTAATTTTAAGATATTGTCCTCTAAAGTTTATCTCTAATCTCATCATTTCAGGTACCGTAATCGTAGGCCAAGCCCAACCGCAGTCGTTGGCACTAATCGTAAACAAAGCCCAACCCAACCCCGCGTTGGCGCTATTATCGGAATCGAATCCCAACCTAGCTATAACTGTAATTGAAGCCCAACTCACAGTTGGCAAATTTAAGCATAAGAAATTAAACGTCAACATTAGGTATACCTGGCCTAACTCATTGAAGCTCAGAAATCCTAAACGTAATTATCGTCAACTTTGTCGTCTCTTCCTCTCGCCTGCCAAAACCACCTCGTGTGAGTAACAAATGAAATATCGCGGCCATGCCGACATAAACAATTCCTGTCATGTCAGTTGTAATTTTGTTATCGAGAAGTCAAATAAGAACGTTCATCTATCCTATAACGTTCAGTACTAAACAATATCTAAAGTCTAAACAATGTGAGTCTACACCCTGCTTAGTTTAAGTTTCATGTATGTCTATCTCGAACTATTAACTAATATTAAATCTTATTTTCAGCTTACGTCACTCAGCTTACGTCACCCATATGAAATAAACGGGAGAAAAAGCAAGTCAACTTTTCCCTACCCCGTTGAGCCCGCACACGTTTGTGTCAGTAAGACGAGTCAAGAACCTGGCGGTGGAGAAGCTGAGAGAAGCTCAACGAACGTACCAGTGAGAAGAAGATAGCGAAAATGGAGCTACCAAAAAATGCAATTCAGCCCAACCGCACCGAATTAGAAAATGTGCTAGAAGAAATTTATGATGAACTAGATACTTTGCTGGACTTAGAAGACGAAGAGCTAAGACATGAGCCAGAAAAATTGAAAGAGCGGGCCACAGGTCTGAAAGGAAAAATGAAGGAATACACACGTTTTTGTGGGCAACTCAAGTGGACCCTACTCAGGCAAGGCTGCAGCGCTGACCTGCAACTTGCCAAAGAAAAGCAGCGTGGTCTTCAAAAACGCTGCGCGCAGAGCCTAGCGCTCATCAACGAGCATCTAAAACAGCTTAGAACCGATGAAGTATCAGCCCTACATTTCGTCACTTCGTCCGTCCGAACGGGTTACTCCCTCGCTTCACAGCTTGAGGAGTCGATATCCCCAGTAGCCCCAATCGATCGACCGGACAGCCCAGTAATAATCGAGTCATTAGTCAACGCTCCACGGGACTCCGGAGCCCTTCCAGCGCCGTCCCCATCCATAGTCATCTCGCCAAAAACGGTTCCTCTTCAATCCACTGGAACTCCTTCGGATAAGCTTCACAACCACCCCACTTCTACGCCCTCGTCTCATTCAAAAGACCTAACGCCGCATCATACCGAAGCGCCAAGCTCAGTGGTTCGTTCGGATGGCACGATACCAGTCACAAGTCCATCCGCGTCGACCGGGCTTGAAACCCCGAGCGGAGTCGTACATCCTCGCGGCCCCAGAGCAGCCTCGCCGACATCAGCTTTTCCATGGAGTGCGGTGTCAATCTCGCCGACATCGGCTACTCCATGGAGCACGGGGACAATTTCGCCGACACCGGCCCGTCAACGGAGCGCGGAGTCAACATCGCCGACACCGGCCCCTCCGCGGAGCGCGGTGTCAGCCTTGAAGACATTTGCTCCTCCATGGAACGCTGTGTCAGTCCTGCCGACATCGGCTTCTCCATGGAGCGCGGTGTCAGTCTTGCCGACATCGGCCTCTCCATGGGGCGCGATGTCAACCCCACCGATATCGGCACCTCCATGGAGCACGATGACAACCCCGCTGACATCAGCTCCTCCATGGAGCGCGGAGTCAGTTTCTCCAATATCGGCTCCTCCATGGAGTGTGGCGGCAATCTCGCCAACATTGGCTCCTGAACGGAGTGGAGTGTTGTCTCAGTCTCGCTGACATCGTCCTTCTAATACCCAGCAACTGAATAGGCCTCGATCGTATCTCAGCCGTATCGTCCAAACCCCCTCAACGTTATCCAACGCCAACCCCCAGAAGATATGTCCGGTCCACCAGTCCGCGGGGCACTCTCTACTCGACTGCAGGTCATTCAAACGACTCCAGTACACAAATAAGCAAAGGCTAGTGAATGATCATCAACTCTGCTGTTACTGTTTTGGCCACTACTTTGCAACCGACTGCACCGCACAACCAAGATGTGGTATCTGCAAACAAAACCACATAACCCTCATGCACCAAGAGAGAGAGAGAGTACCTCACGCATATCCAGACTATAACGGATAAACCAGTACAGTGCCACCGAGTGCCATCGTCGGCTGCCTGCGGCCCGCCCAGTGTGACATCGTCCTAACACTGGTGGTACATCGTCCGGTGCGCCCGGTGGTAGTGTGACGTCGTNAGTACTAAACAATATCTAAAGTCTAAACAATGTGAGTCTACCCTCTGCTTAGTTTAAGTTTCATGTATGTCTATCTCGACCTATTAACTAATATTAAATCTTATTTCCAGCTTACGTCACTCAGCTTACGTCACTCAAGTATATGAAATAAACGGGAGAAAACCAACTTCGATTTTCCCTGCCCCGTTGAGGCCGCACAAGTTTGTGTCAGCAATTTACAGTTAATATCAGCGTCAATACCGTGTCGAACGTTGTCTTGTAATATAAGTCCCTAATTGTGAATTATATTCCGCGTAGGGAAGAAAAGTAGCTCTTCGCGCCGTCTCATTTACGCCATCCATATCGCCATCTCATTTACGAGTGGAGTAAAATCTATCCTAATTTGTGAAGAAACGCATAGGGAAGAGCCGAGCCTGTTCGAAGCCTCTCGGTTCTCAATCAGAGCCTTAACTATACTTCATTGATTCTGACGTTTAGTATCGGTTCTTTTATAACCAAACCAATATGTATGAACCCAAATGAGCCTAATAACTGTGGATTTATATCGTGGTTGAGCCTATATACCGAGCATTGTGCTCCGGGATGTGGTTGTTTCAGCACGATTAATAGATATCCCCACCTGTGGGGTGTTCCTTCTCTCGACCGCCGAATGCCGCGAAGTGCAGGGAGTCTGCGTTAATGGGGCTCACGTAGCGAGTCTTAGGACGGTAGATTCTACAAGTATCGTAGCGAGGATGTTGTTCAAGATACTTTGCTGAATTCTATGGGAACAATCCACTGCAAACTTTGTCTGATGTTCCTTTTTTCACTTAATTAGGCACGTTTTTCTTCTAATATACAAGTGACCGCGCGTGATAAGAATTTTGATGCCGTGGTGGTACTTATATATTACCTCATCGGCAACTTGCATCTGTAGTTAGTTAGTTAGTTTAGTGGCCAAATGTTTACTAGCGCTTCAGCTATTAAGCTATCTCGCACCGAAAGTCAAGATGAACATCACCATAGAGGAAAATGCAAGGAATCCTACCTACATAATAACTTAACCCCACAACTGAGACCTGCAGTCAGACACCGCGAGCTCAGCGGTGGGGCGCTCAGGAACAATCCCCCTAGGAGCGCGAAATCCCATAGGACTTCTGACGGGTACAGACACCCGTCAGAAGTCCCCCCTGAGGGGCTTGCATCTATAAATTGTTCCCTGAAATCATTCATTGATTCATAAAAAAGGGTTCAAAACTTGTCACATTTTACAGAACCATCGAGAAACTGAAGAATCTATAACATTAAAGTGAAATGAGGCCTTTGTATTTTTTTTTTTAGCGATTTGCCCCAAACTTTGAATTTGAGTATTGTTTTATTCTCGATTTTTGATGCATCAATATATCTCTGAATCAATTGCGTGTAATGCTGTCGAATTACTTCTAATATCTGGACCGATTTTATGAAAACGAACTTGAAGCGAAAAAAATGATGAAAAATTTAGTCACACCAATTTCATTGTTAATACATTTATTGTCATACAGCACCTGGCACTGCCTTGATATTTTTCGCATGAATTACTTTTAAAGATATTTCAGATGCGGTGCTTCCTATCTGATGTGATTGTTGATTTCTTCGCTTTGTGCACGACGAATGACTCTAGCCTCGGCGGTTGATATGTTTTCTACCTTTTATAAGACTTGGAATGCTTGAATGCTCCTGTGTGTGATGTTTACACGAGTGAGTAGTAATCATAGGTAAAACACCTTAAGTGTCTGCCCTATACTCTTTGTATCATTGGCGACCAGCATATCGACCGCAGAGTATTAAGTATATGTGCATGCGGCTTTGTATTTCAAATCTTCTACTTGTAATCAAATGATCAGTATCCACTTGTCTTTATGGTCTCTCGTATATCTTGTCTCTCTCGTATATCTCTCTGCCCATATCGATGGCTGCTCATTAAACACTATCACGTATCCATGCCTCAAAACGACCGTAATTTTCTTCATCTTCGAGAATCATTGCGAATTTAAAAATGTACGAGTTTGATCTTCTGGATTTTTAGCATGACTTTCACAGATTATTTTCTATATCTATTTTCCCGAATAGCTGAAACCTCAATACTATAGTCAATAGTGTCACTCTTACCTCTTACAATGAAGATTCGTAGCTGAGCCCTGGCGAATGTTTCAATATTGTTGATGTTAAGAATGATTCCATACTGTTCATACAATGTGCGATCTTAACACCGAAAATTGAGATGCATTGATTAAACTCCCGTTTGGTCTTCAGTAATTGACAAATTACTCAAAAGCAAGTGAGATCGTAAAAACATAACATGTAAAGGAATTCAGATTACAAAATTTTATCATAAATCATTGCAATGCAGCATTCCATCGCATTTTCAGAAGAATTTCTGATGTATGCTCTTGCGTTTGTCGTCTGTACTATATCATGACTTGTATTTCTATTGAACCGGGCTTGATATGATTATCTAAAGGTAATTTTGCGCTTCAGAGTAGATCTAAATACCTAATATAGCTAATAAATCTTCAAGAATGTGGACAAGTTCAAGTATGTGGATGCTCTGCATGCAGGAGTTGTGTTCCATGTCATGGTCTATGGTAGTTTGGTGTAGAATAATACAGTTCACACGTCACATGAAAAGGTCACTTGTCGATAATTCATTCAATATTCTGTATTTGTGTAATCTTGCAAATTTTTACATTTGCTGATGTACATTTTTGTGCTTATTTAGTACTGTTCAAAATCAAATGATCACATTTTGTGGAGAGTTCACCGAGATCAAATTTTGAGGAGATCATAGTGTTCAAATTTTGAGGAGAGTTCACAGCGACGATCAGTACTATATTGGTATTTTCGTGGCTACGACATGCATTATTCATTTGAAAAACAGACGGCGATTTTCTGAAAATTTTATAATGTTACAATTAAATCTGAGTCACTGGCATTAAAGGAATTCCACATCACCTCCATAAAAAAAAACTTGTTGATCTGATACCAGGAACACTCTGCGTGTGAGATGGAATACTCTCAACAAATGCATTGACTCTCGTGGTCTGCTGGAAATTACTCAAAGGAAAGCCTTGCTGGAAAGCCTTGAGGTAAAACGTCATGGGTATAATTTCCTTCGTTAGTTACAATGAGGAGCTTGCTATTTCATCCGGCTCAGGAGGGACTTCTGATGGGTGTGCTCGTCAGAAGTCCTATGGGATTTTGCGCTCCTATATTGTTCCTGCTTGAGCTGCACCCGCGGGCTCAAAAGTCAACAGGATGACGTCACGGCACCAAATCGCGAGAAGCATTGTGGGGATCGGCCGCCATGTTTGTTGCATGGTCTAGCTTTCGTAAACGTGTTCAATCAACGGCGCTCGTCTCTTCTTGAAGTTTTTGCTTGAAGATGGAACGCTACTGCGCCGTTTTTGGATGCACCAGTCGTTTTCACGACTACTTAAATAGAAAAGTGGACAATGGAATACATTTCTTCAGTTTACCAGCCGTGAATGCCGTGTATATCATATCAGTTTACGTATCGTATTGATATACGTATCGCATATCAGTTTACCAGCCGTGAATAGTTGAAAACGATTCACGATACTATAAATTTTCCAGGGGCAAAATATCATAAGTAAGAATAATAAGTAATAATATTGACAGATTAGATTACATTGTCATGATCCATTACCCTCACCTTGGCAGCAATGACAGTGTTTTTGCAGTTGGCTTGTTTTGTGGGTGCATTTCTCCTACATACCCCAATCCATCCACACATTGCTTGTAAGCTTCAATCGTCTTGTATGCCTTGAATTTTTGCAAGGTGTATTGGCTAACACCAAACACCAAATAGTTTAGTAAATCACCGTGTGAAACGGAAGGCAGGCGTGCTAAATCTTCACACCGCTGCTTTGCCAGCACTTCGTAGGGATCAACATCGTTCATGTCGAACATTTTTTGAAATTCTGGTCTTTCGCTGAAGGAAAAAGTTTTTGAAAATAGCTTAATCTCTTCTACTTTGCTCTATCTTTTTCCATTGCCACCAAAACAAACGTGTAGGAACGAAAGAGTAAGCTGAGGCGCGAGTGTGCAACAAGCATGGCAGCGTAGCCACGCGTTTACGGGGAAACGCGGGATCTTGGCGAGGCCGATTGTACAAGAATAAAATTTCAGTACTTGTATGTTCAATTCACATAATGTTTTCACCCTAAGAGTTAGAGAATAAAATTGAGAAATATTAACTTATTCAATCAAATTGAATAAATGAACAATTCTACTGTTCGAAACAACTATACTTGAATTCTCTTACATGTTATGCATATTTAAAATTGGTTGATTGATTAACCTTAATTCAACATGAATAAGATCTATTTCCTTGAGTAAGATCCAGTTCCATCCAAGAAGAATGTAATTTTAATTTGAACTTGGAAATGGGAGTTGAATGGAACCCACAAGGATTACTAGAATTTGAAACAAGAACCAACACCAGGGGCCACGGCTATAAACTCAAAAAACTGCTCTGGAAATTATCCACGCGACATTTCTTCACGCTTCGAATTACCAACATGTGGAACAGCCACCCCGATTACACCGTTGGCGCTCCGAGTATGAATGAGTTCAAGAACAGACTAGATAAAGCTATGGAAAAATATATGTTCAGAATTGAAATGCCTAGTACCATATCGAACCCGGTGTAAGTCTAGTAGTTATTTGCCTATTTCAAACTATCGTCAGTCTTGAAAAGATCCGGTCAAAGGACCGGATCTTCTGTGAACGAGTCACGAAAAGTACAAGAATCGGCGACAGGCCACATCATGCCTACTCTTGAGCGCCGAGATCACTCTGTATATATTAAATTCTTCTACTTTTCTTAGAAATTTAGTTCAAAATATTTTACGGGATTCAGGTTCTCGAACCTTGAGGTATTATTTATCCCGAACAAGGCCGGCTCATGCTGATAGCGTTTAAAAAACTTCACTCTTATAATTTAAAGTTAAAAAA